ATGATGATGATGATGGTGGTGATGACAAAAGGAAAAGCGAAAAGAAACAGTTGAAGCATATTGTAATCTTATGAAAATAAACGAAAAGGCTTTATTTCGTACCATTATTGCACCCAATTCACTGCCGTTTTTCTTCTATTATTGAAAAAATAAAAAAAAAAATAAAAATTTGTTAAAATTCAGCCCCACTAATCACTTTTTAATTTATCACCATGAAAATAACTGTCATTTTTTTTTTGTGAGCACTGATGAGCTGGACGCTTAGCTGCATTTTTATAATGCATTTGGTATCGATTTGAAGCAGTAAAATTTTGTCAGCTGTTAGCAGATAACATTTTTGCTAAGCAAGTTTTGCATGAAAGTTTTTTGCTTCTTTTAAGCAACAAAAAAGTTTAAAACAAAAGAGTAATTATTTTTCGACACAAAAATTCTTCTTTTTACTCTGCTTCTAACAAATCTTATCAGGCTAATAATAATTATACACATTCAGAAGCAATGTTTTTGAAAACAGTAGAAACAGGTCACTAAGAAATCAAAAAACTAAAAAACTTTAAGCATTGTATAACAGAAATTAAAAAAAGGCATTGATAACAACGAAAAAAAGTAGTTCCTAATTCTTTAGAAATACATCTATGAAGCAGATCAATACGGAATCTATCTAAATTTTTTTTCTCTATCATTTTATTTCATTTTATTCATGACTTTTTCTCTCGAAAAAGATCAGTGATTGTAGACATTTATGTATATGAAAAATTGCTAGAAGTCAGACAACTGATCAGTAGAACCTGAATTATGCAGAAACCTGAAGCAGAAAAGTTGTTAGAAGACTTTGAAGTCTGCAGTTTTTTCTGTGTTGCCGGATATTATTTCTGGTATTTAAAGCAATGTAGCGACATAGCACCACTACCAATAAACCATTTCCTTCGTTTCTCTTTTCCCCTTTAAATAATTCGTTTTTCTTCCTGTCTGAATTTTCTTCTTTATTTTCAAAATTTTCACCTACTTCTTTCATACACTTTTGTCATCCTAGGTATGCTTCAAAATTTGACAATATATACATTTACTAGGAGTAAACATCTGCTCACAATTACTGCTATTGTAATGATAACCTTTAGATGTTCTCAATAATTTTTACGTTTATGTCGAATACAAATTTTGCCCAAAATAACAGACTGTTCTTATTTACATTTGTATGTTTAACAATGTTAGCTGATTATCTGTATACATAACAGAAAAGTGAAAAATTAAAAAAAAAAAAAGAAGAAAGCAAGAAAAAAAAAGAGAAAAAAGACAAGCAAATGACAACGGGAGAAACGATCATTGAGCACTGAAATTAACTGTTCCGTCTGAGCAGTGACGTGCTAAAAAATTTGCTTATATAGCGGACAATGTATGGGAACCAAACTGCTGGCAGTGCAGCAAAAAAGATGTTTTTAGCAGATAGAATAGAAAACGCAAAAACTGTTTGTCATTGGCGCAGTTAGCTGCAAATAAAAAATATTTATATCAAGTAAAATCCCTTTTTCAAATATCATATTAAATAGCAACTTTAAATCTTTTTTTAAAAGTGTAAATGCGGCAAAAAAAAAAAATTTTTTTTCTTTTCAATTTTTGAACATG